GGGAATGGAATGCCACATTGCCGTCCGTCGAGAACCGTGTCTGAAGTTGGTACTGGAGAGAAACAGGTCGTCTGTGCATAACTGAAGAAGTCGATCGCCGTTATCTGTTCACTGGCAGGGCGGAGCACAACTACCGCTTAGGTAAGCCTCTGATGCTCAGTTTTCTAACCTGCTCTTGAAAACAATCTGCGAGTACAACTATGTCAGAGCTTCGATTCAACCGAATGAGTTCCGTGAGTTTATCACAGAAATCGTCCTTTTTGTAGCTGGACTGCAGTGTATATGTTGAGATGATGAAAAACCTTTTGGTGTCGCTTTCCTTTCTGACACTGACAAACCCCTAGAGACGCATCGCACATAAACAACTGTTGACGGGGATTTAATTGATGATAGGCCTCGGCACTGTTGCTGAGTACAATATCCCCTAACGGGCTTTGCCGTTGCCTAATATCAGAAGAATAAACTCCGACAATCAAGTGGCTTATACTTAATTTACTTTACTTTACGGCGGCTGGCTCCTGGGAGAGGATAAACAGCTTCATGGATTTCTCGAATTGCCGCTGTCCCCGCTCGGCGATCTGCGGCAAGATTGGCGCATACTGAGATCCAGCTTGACTTCCATTGGCGAACGCCGTAGACGGAGCGGAGACCCAGGTTTTCAGTATCCTTTCGTATCGTGTCAAGCCAGGTTTTCAACTGCCCACCGTGCCGACAGCGCCAGTTCGGGCAGGGAGGCGGTGCCAAGACAGCTTTTGTCAGGCCGTTATCGGACTTACGAAGAATGTGGCCAAACCATTGTAGTCATCGCCGTTGTATTAAAGTCCTCAGCCGTACAAGATTACACATCGATTTCTGATTGCTTCATTTGAGAGTTGATCCCTCCATCGAGCCAGTGATTGAGGACTTCTAATCTGTGACAGTCTTCCACTCTGAGTGGTCAGGTTTCGCAGCCGTAAAGCAAGACAAGACGGACTGCTGCGGAGAAAACTCGGATTTTTGTCTTGAGGCTGATTTCATTTCTGCGCCAAAGGGGATTCTTTAACTGTAAAAACGCCCTTCTTGCAGCGTCGACGCGCAATTGCACCCCGTCTTTAGCTTGGCCGTTGAGGATAATGGTTGAGCCCAAGTATTCGAAGCTTTCGACGGATTCGATCCGCTCCCTTTTTGGTAGTAAAGCATTCTCGGGATGAATCGGGACTGTCTCAAAGATTTTGGTTTTTGATGTGTTCACCTCAAGGCCGATCTCGGAGGTCTGCCGATTGATGCGGTCAACGATTACTTGGAGGTTAGACATGTCCTCAACAAAGATGACAATATCATCCGCAAATTCCAAGTTGGTGGGCCATAAGTTGGGAGAGATCTGGGCTCCCTGGTATCCTTCCAACGAGCGACACATAATCCAGTCCACGGCAAAGTTGAACAGTATTGGGGACAATGGGCACCCCTGTCGCACTCCAGATCCCAACCCGAACGGGCAAGATTCCTCTCCGTAGATACGGATTCGGGCACTAGTGTTAGAATAGTAGGATCTCATTAAGTAGACAGGTTTGACTGGGACACCATCGGCCAGAACTATGTTCCAGAGGGATTCGCGGTCTACGGAGTCGAATGCCGCACGAAAATCAATGAAGCAGACTGTTGTAGGTTGTCGAAACTTGTGGCGACGTTCCAAGAGTCGATGTAGAGTGAATATTTGATCGACGCAACCCACACCGGAGAGGAATCTGTTCTGGTTAGGACGAGTGCGTGCCTTGCTGCAGCAAAGCGGTTCAGCAAAAGTTGTGCAAAACCCTTGGCCGCCACGTCAAGTAAGCTGATGCCTCTGTAGTTTTCGCACACTGATTTGTCACCCTTTTTTAGGGAAAGGTAGTAAAATCGATGTGGTCCAATCAGTTGGGCAAATTTCGGTTTTCCAGAGTGCACACAGTAAGCTATGAAGAGGGTTTAAAATGGCTAAAGAGCACTTTGCGTAGATTTCGGTGGGTATCCTGTCCTCACCGGGAGATTTTCGTGGCTTGAGATGACTGATGATATCTGAGATTTCTTGTACTGATGGCGGAGCGCAGTTGGCTTCGTATAGAGAAGATGGCGAGGGAGGCACATACAGAAGTTGGATTTGAGGGCGATTGAGAAGACTAAAGTGTTCCACCCATCGAGACATTTTCCTGCGCATCAGAAATGAGCTTACCGGAGGCGCTGCGTAGCACAGTGGGTGACCTGTTTCTTGCCCGATGCTGATCGAATAAGTCGGAAGAGGGTCGCGGTGTTGCCCAGGTTGGCTGCTGTCTCCATTTTTGTAGCCATTTC